CAGCCCACATTGCTCATGCTGAATGCATGTCCCTTTCTTCACAATCCTTTCCCAGAGCTAATGGGAAGCATTAGAATGTCCCCCACTCTAGTGCTGGTCTCACTAAATAGTGCCCAGACCTTAGTGCATGCAGGAAGCCTGGGAGAGCTTATTCAAATGGAAGTTTCCAGGGCCTCTGTGGAACTTGCCAATGCTACTCACTGGGATGAGACTGGGACTCTGCATCTTTGACAAGTGATCCAGGTGACTCTAGGCAGGAGATGTGACAGACTGACATCCGGTTGGCTTGATTTGATTCATAACTCCACCACTGATGTACTCTGGTAATCTGAATAAGTTGGTTGACCTCGCCATAGCTCAGTCTTCACCTATAATCCAAGAACTAATCCATCTGCCTCATAAGGTTGCTAGAAAGGGGAAATTAGATGATACCTTTAATTAAGCACCCAGCAGACCACCTGGCACAAATTCCCCAAACAGCACCTATACAACCATTACTTCATAAATTCCTATGCTGTGGTTCAATCACCTGCTTTGTTTTCTCTTTTCTAGGTTTGTAACAATTTAGATATCTCTGTGGCTCTGCTCTGAATTGTTTTCCATTTTCACCTCCTTTGTAAGAACTGAGTGCTATGGTCCATGTCTGATCAGGGCCTGGTACCTCATTATAATCCTATGTGGGTGTCTAATTATTCCCTAAATGGGCACACCTCATTGAACGCTTTAATTCCAGCATCTCATTAGAGTGCTCCATTTGCCCACCTTGTTATTCCCCATCCCTCCACCAATGCCCCTTTTTTTCCTGTTCCTCCTTTCAATCCTCACATCTTTTTATGTCCATTTCTTCGTGCAGAGTATTAAATCCTTCCTTTTATGCTTCTCATTATTCCCTCCTTTCTGCACAGCTCATTACATCCTTCCATCTGTGAACCTCATTATGCCACTCCATTTTTATCTCATTACATCCTCATCATGCACATATTATTAGCTCCTTCATCCATGCATAGCGCTGCATTCTTTCTCTCTCCTTCTTATCACAACCTGCCCTTTCCACCCTCCCCATTTAATGCTTCCATTTATAAATCGCATTACCTCCCCTTAAATGCCTTTATCATTACACCCATCCATTTATGCATCTCATTACGCCATTACCCATGCACATTTCTATGTGCATTTCTATTTGTACATCTCATTAGGGCCCCATCAGACATGCACATGTCATTATATCCCTTTCAAATGTTCACGTTGCATTACATCTTGTTGTGTTTGCATCTCATTAGATTCAGTATCCCTAGGTTTGACAACACACTAACAAAAACAGACAGATAACTATGTCACTTGCTTTTAGAAAATGAAATATGTTTCTCAGGCACATAACATCAGTGTTTCTTAAACAAGTCATTCATTTCAGAAAGATTTACATATATTTCTCTGGCTAGGAAGCAAACAAAAAATATGTTTTGTTTGCATAAAAGGGAGCTTCTTTGTTTGCTTTGTTCAAATCATCACCATTATTGCTATTTTTTATTATTTCTTTACTGTTAGTGTAATTACCCATGAGTTGATTTGGGGCAAAAACTCTCTGAAGGAGACAGTTTAGGAATCATTGTCGTTTTGCAGATTGAGCAGTGCATTGAAAACACTGAGAAATGAAGACGTTTCCCAAAGGCTCTAGCGAATGATGGTGACAGGGTGCCAACTCAGATCTTCTGTCTCTGAAACCTACCTTTTTTACTCAATGCCACCCTGCAGGGGGAAACAATAATCTTAACCTAAGTGTTACTTCTGTTATTTAACCCACTTAATATATTCTAACCCTAGGATAGAATGTGATGTTAGCAGACTGTCGGACTGGTTTGTTTTCTAAAACAAAACAACAGAACGTATTCCAAGCATTTGACATTTCATGCTTATCTGTCTCCCAGTTTGGAGATTTAGATTAAAAGAGGCCTTAACATGACACTTCCCCTCCCCTCTAATAGGAATCAATGCAAAAATCAGGAGAGAGATGTGTTCCTCTAATGACTTTCACCTCCAAGGAAAAATAAAGGGTTTCCTCCACAAGGGGGCATGTGAGGTACCAAGGAACACCCCCACCCCATGCAGAATCTTTCTTCCTCACAGATTCCAACCCCTGCCAGTCTCCTTGCTTCACTGCTCTGTGTACTCTAACTCACTTTTCTTTTTATTAAATTCAGAAATAACTGACAAATTCAGAAAAGTAAAGACAGGTGATACCCATTCCCACCATAAGATAGAAGAGGTGCTTACATTTCTCCCATATTTACTTCAATTATTTCTCTTCACAAACAGAAAGAAGCTGTTGTGAATACGCTCCTGAGGTTGGTATTAGTTCCCTGAGTGTTTGGGGGTTTTACATGTGTGTTACCAAATTTTGTGTACCTTTTGCAATAAGTTTTCTGAACTTAAGATTATCTTTTTAAAATATATCTGTTCATACATGTAGAGTTAGCTCATTCATTTTAGCATCTATTAAATTTTCCATTGTGTAAACAGGCCATAGTTTGTTTTATCCATTTCTCTACTAAGGGGTAGTTCAACTTATTATGTCTGCCTTGATCACTATTACTTCACCAATGCTTAAGGTTATGTTCTATCTGTTGAACGACTAAATGAAAATTTTGAAGTTCCCACGTCATGGGAAGCAATGCCTTCTACTTAAGTCCATGGTAAAGTCATGGTAAGTTTGATATCCTTTGTAGCTGCTCCAAGTAATAAACACAACAATAAAAGAGTAGTTCTTAAAGTAAAACTAGACTGTGGCCAAATGTTGGCATGTACTAGTGAATTAAAATAATTGTACCTGAAAAGGGTGGTCTGATTCCCAGGATCTGGAATGCTCCTTATGATACCAAAAGGCAATAAAAATGGAGAGAAATGCAGCAATTGCTACAGAAAGGTGGTTGATCTTTCTCATGATTTAAGAGACAATGCTTTAAGAAGCCACTGGAGACTGCTGCAAGCCCCTAATGCAATCAGTCTGTGGTCACCAAAAAGATGGCCTGTTTCAGACATGGGAAAGGGTTGTTGGATGGTAACTCTTCCAGAAACTTCAAAGCCTAGAAAGCCCTTTCATTATGATGTGGAAAAGAAATTCTTCATGCTGTGCTGGTGGGAATGTAAATTGGACAGCCATTTTGGAAAGCAATTTATCAGAACCTAGTGAAGTTAAGGATATGAATAATGTTGCATTTTTAATGTCTCATGCAAACCAGGTTTCTGGAGCAAAGCACATCATTATTATTACTTACAGCAAATCACCTCACCACTTTCCCTTTGCCTCAGTTGCCTGGGACAACACTATGAGAACCAAATATCATCCTACACATTCTAGGGTCTGTATTGAAGTTAGGGAATCCTGAAAATAAGAATATAGGGTGTTTAAATAGGGGATGGACAGCTATTCCCACTCTTCTGTAAAAAAGGGAAGAAAGATCTTTGCTCCTTGGGAAAGATGCTGGTTTCCTACTGAGAGCCTTTCGGATACACAAAATCTTTCCAAGGGGAAGGTAAGACTTGACAACCAGGGATGTCTCCAAACCTGGGTCTCATCCCCACCTTGAAAGGTTAAACTCATACTCTGGGAAGAGAAACCTCTCAAGATGGCCTCTCACATCTAATCAGTCATAAATTAACTTCTCAAGCTTTTCTCTTAGCCCAGGTCCAAAGTTTCAGTAAAATTTGCACAGAAAACTCAAACTGTGCAAAAAAGTAAAAATATTTCCTCTACAGCCTTATAACTCCCTATGATCTACTCTGGAATGATTAATCCAAAAAAATTCTTGCTCACACCAGCAAGCGGACAGATTTGAGGTTATCCATTGTTGGCATGGGTTCATGTGAGTGAAAAGATGGAAGCATCCTTGGGCCCATCACCAGGGTAATGGTTAGGTAACATGTGGACAGTAGTGGACTCACATTATGAAATCACTTTGTGGAGGTAGAGGCAACTAAATGCACATACAACACCATGTAGAGATCTTGAGTGAAACAAGCAAGAAATAGAATGCAGTCTATGGCATAACATCACTTGGGAAAATGAAAAATACACTAAATGTTGCTCAGGGAGATGGGAGGAACAGACTTGGAATGAGAGCAGTATCAGGGATAAAGGGGGGCAAATAAGACAAGAGAGGAACCTTGTTCCATAGCTGAGGAGCATAACCTCACTAACTGATTTTCAAAGGAAGAAAAAGAGCCCTGGCCAGTGTTGGCCTATAGATCGATGGGTTGAGAGTTCAATACCCATCAAGAGCATATACCTAACTTGCAGGTTCACTAGTGTAGGTAGGGGCATGTGCAGGAGGCAACCAGTCAACGTGTCTCTCTCACATCTCTCTCTCTCTTTCTCTCTCTCTCTCTCTCTCTCTCTCTCTCTCTCTCTCTCTCTCTCTCTCTCTCTCTCTCTCTCTCCTTCTCCCTCTATTCTCTATAGAAATAAGTGGGAAGAGGGGGGAATATCATCAAGTGAGGATTTTTTTAAAAAAGGAAAGCCCCTCTAATGAGCTCTTTCACATCAGCACCCTGTGCACAGTTGTACTAGATGCTCAATATATGGTTGCTAAATGCAGGTGGCCATCATCAATTAGGAAAAAACAATCACTGCAATTCTTTGCTTTCTAATATAACACAAGGTCCTGTGGGTGATGGCTTTCACTGCCAACAATCCTGGTGATGACATTTTACTGCTGTCACCACTATAGAAATGTCAATGTTTTCTTAACATTTTGAGAATTGGTAATTTTTTGTCCTTGCTTCCACTTTGATTTTTAATAAAAATGCTTTGCTGGATTTAGTGGGCTAAAAATATTTTAATTGTATTTATAAAATACATTTATTCAACTTTACTCAGTGTGCCACCTTTATTTTCTAATCAATTCATGTGATTTTATTAGCTTTTCTATAAATCACTTTATATAAACTCTTGCCATGTTTACTGCCAACATTCTGGGATGAGATTATTTTTCCATGATCCTTAGATGAGTGTGGAAATTTGACTTTTTGAACCAAGTCAAATAGTCTGTCACATTGGTTGGTTCTTAAAGCGTTCTTCAAACTTCTCTCTGAAATGAATGAAACAAAGATGAGTGCCTTCTTCCAGCCACTCGGAGCCAGACCCATAGTCAGAATTGCCAGGACTTGCGGAGAAGCAATCCAGTGCTTCCCAACATACAGGGACTCCAAGGAGAGGAAGATAGTCACGTCTTTGCCATGATCTCCAGTAAAAGTAAGAAACTTGCCACCTTGACCTCATCTATTCGTGTGTGCCTGCAGTCATCTTACTAATTTGGAATAGAAAAGGGGAGACAGTGCAACATGTGTAACACCTGTGTTGAATACTGAACCACACTGAGTTCTTCCAGATCAGCGCCCTTGCTGCCTCTGCTAAGAGTCTGTCTCTCACCTGTTGTCCCACCCTCCCTCACATACAGCTCAGCCTTCTGCCAAGTGTCAGAAAAGGTCCATTTTCACACGTCACCCTTCCTTCCATATTGCACAACCTGGGATAATAACATCTCTGATTTTTAAGAATGGAATTTTTGCTCTTGCAACCAGCTTATATATGTTGTCCTCTGAAACCTATTGTAGTGAAGCCCAGGAGGGCTGACCAATTCCACAAATATCAATTAATGGAGACAGATTGGCCAGCCCCATATCTGTTCCCAAGGGTGTAGGATGAATTTCCCAGTCAGTGAATATCCGAAAACCTGCGGGAGCTTGTTGAGAAATGTAGGCTCCTGGCCTGAACACAGGCTTATGGGAGTGGAACCGGTATCTGGTGTTTATAACAACTTTCCCTGGACTCCTGAGCACTGGTGATCTGGAAAAGATGAGAGTCTTGAGAGCATGAAATCAACATGCTATCATGATGAAGTCAGACAAACATTCTTCTTCAATTACTAACATTGTATTCTAAAAACTTGTTTCATAAAATTAAATAAAATGGGTTCCTGTAATACACATAGAGATGCTTGTAGATATTTTTTAAAAGAAATGTGTTCTGAAAGAGCTTTATGGCCATAGTTGAATAGACATAAAAAATGAAACCCTAAATCCTATGTTTCATATAAATTTGAGATAAAGTCTGTGTGTCTCAATTAGTAAAAATTTATTAAAAATGTATTGAGCCAAAACCGGTTTGGCTCAGTGGATAGAGTGTCGGTCTGCGGACTGAAAGGTCCCGGGTTTGATTCCGGTCAAGGGCATGTACCTTGGTCTCGGGCACATCCCCAGTAGGGGGTGTGCAGGAGGCAGCTGGTCGATGACTCTCATCAATGTTTCTAACTCTCTATCTCTCTCTCTTCCTCTCTGTAAAAAATCAATAAAATATATATTTTTTTAAATGTATTGAATGTCTACTATTGGCAAAGTGCTATACTAAGTATTTTCAGAAGCTACAAAATAAATAAATCTCCTTGCTAAAGAGCTTTAGTCCAGTTAAGAGCCAAAAGATTCATACTAAAATAAGCTTAATAACAATCACAACCAAATACTAATAATGGTATATTCCAATTTTTCTCCATGAGGAGTAGTGTGGGCCCAATGAATTGCTGCTTCCTCACTTCCTTGGAATACAAGACTGTGTCTCCTTCATCTGCTTATCATTGGTTCCTGACATCAGTTACTGTAGACTAAGTGTTATGAATTGAACTCAATTATAACATTTTTCAGAAATTGAAATAAATTTAAAAATCAAATTGTAGCATAAACATTCTTTTTTTAAGTTCCCTTCTATTCTATATATATATTGATTTATATAATGTATTGATTTCAGAGAGGAAGGGAGATGGAGAGAGATAGAAACATCAATGATGACAGAGAATCATTGATTGGTTACCTCTTGCACATCCTCTACTGGGGATCAAGCCCACTACCCAGGCATGTGCTCTGATCTGGAATTGCAACCATGACCTCCTGATTTATGGATCAATGCTCAACCACTAAGCCATGCTGGCTGGGCCGTAAATATTCTTTAGAGTCCTTTTGTTAGTATATTTATTTAATCAAAGTGTTTCTTATAAGACACTACTCTTACAAAATCTAGGTCAATATAAATAATATGAAGATGAATAATATAGAAATGAATCATTAATTTTCATCCCTCAATAAATTTACTTGACACTCTGAACTCCCTATAATTAAAAATATGTGCACTGGAAATGGCCATAAAGACATAAAGCCCTGCTATTATGTGAAAATATTGGAGATTATTTATACTAGAAAAAAAAACCTCTGGTTTATGTTTCTTAAACACACACTTGAAGTATGTGCCTACAATTGATCCTATTAACCATAGGCACACGGAGCACATGAGGCAATCTTATGTTTGTATCTGTGCAAAAATAACTTTAGAACAGAATTTAAATGTGCCAGGATGCAAACTTCTTCCAGATGTATGCTTTCACTGATTTTTGGAAAATTGCTTCTCAGTACCCTCTCACAGTACACAGACCACATTATAACATCCAGCGGCCACTTTGCACTTTTATGGAATCCATAGCGCTGACTCATGCTGTCACTGTCATCAAAATAATGTTGCAAATATCCTCTCATCTTTCCATGCTGCCTGGCTTATTTTTCCCCTAGGAGGCTTCACACGGGACTTTTTATGTAGTTTCCCAAATTCCTGCTCTCATTAATGATTTTCTTCTAAAACTGGTTAAAAACATTATTTTCCCTCCAGGGGCTTTTACCCCTCTTGAATTAGATGGTGTTTATTAGAAAAATCCTTCTTAATGGCATGCTTACTATGGTTACATATATTTTTCTTTAAGTCAGCAGAAATAATTTGGACTTCAAAATTCTTCGGGTTTTATTGAGGCCTGATTTGAAGTGCTCTTGGAAGAATGTGTCCCTTCTAAGCAAAACCATTATTTTCATTGAGAATTGGCCAACAGGGGGACCCCTCCCTTCTTCATGGCATAATCTCAGGATTGATTCTCAATGCTGTATAACAAATACCTTTTACAAATACCACAAGCCTAGAAGCTTAGAACAATACATATTTGTTATCTCACCATTTCCTCAGGTCAGGAATCTGCTTGTGACTTAGCTGGGTCCTCTGCTCAAGATCTCACAAGGCTACAAGATATTGTCTGGGCTGTGTTCTCATTTAGAGGTTTAAATGAGGAGGCTCTGCTTCCAGACTCACTCAGGTTCTTGGCAGAAACCATTTCTTGGGGTGTGTAGGCAATGAAGACCAGGGTTTCTTACTGGCTATTGGCTGAAGGCTACCTTTAGGTCCTGGAAGGCCACCCACAGTTTCCTGCCATGTGGCCCTGTCCATGGGTCATTCACAACTAAGGAGTTTGATTCTTCAAGTCCAGGAGGAGAGTCTCCCTTTGCATCTAGCAAGACAGGTTGGGGTGTGTGTGTGTGTGTGTGTGTGTGTGTGTGTGTGTGTGCATTATGACAATCAGAGGATTGATGTCCTAACACTTTTGCCATATTCTTGGTTAGAAGCAAATCACAGATCCCTCTCACACTTAAGAACAGGGGACTCTCCAAAGGAATAAATACAATTATTAGGGGGAGGGGTGTCACTCTAAGGTCTGTCCATTGCAATCCCATTGAAATAAAAACTTAGAGAATGACTGACTCTACTTGGATATGAATGAATTTTACTACTCTTCTGGAGTCTAGCTGTCTTAAAGGAAGTTTGCAATTCTCTAATCAAGTCCATCTTAGTTCTCTTGTTTTGGGGGGAGATAAAGAGGGGGGGGGGAATCATGTAGAAATTATTGGGCAATGCCGTGGGAAGCTATAGGACCCAGGAAGGTAAAGAAGATTAAGTAGAGAAATAATGACCTCAAGGATATTAAGAGAGCAAATTTTCAAATATTTAGGTATCTGCCGAAACCGGTTTGGCTCAGTGGAGAGAGCATCGGTCTGCGGACTGAAAGGTCCCAGGTTCGATTCTGGTAAAGGGCATGTACATTGGTTGCAGGCACACCCCCTTTAGGGGGTGTGCAGAAGGCAGCTGGTCAATGTTTCTCTCTCATTGATGTTTCTAGCTCTCTATCCCTTTCCCTTCCTCTCTGTGGAAAATCAATAAAATATTTTTTTTTAAATATTTAGGTATCTCTGGTTGTTGGTTTGCTTGTTTTGTGATTTATTTTGCTTTGATTTTCCACCGATATTTAGAACTGCTAGTGTTTCCTCTGTCTCTGTATTCAAGTTGGCTGTTATGCCGATTTTGACAGTTTACAGAACCGACTACCTTCTTCAGTAGTTCTCTCTGTATGATACCTAAACCCTCTGAAGAAGAAGGATCTGTAACTGCATGCTTTTGACTTTAGAACGTGAACACTGAGGTGGAGCTTGCCATCTGCCTTAAATTTCTTTTCTTTTTTTTAATATATCTTTATTGATTTTTCACAGAGAGGAAGGGAGATGAATAGAGAGCTAGAAACATCAATAAGAGAGATACATCGACCAGCTGCCTCCTGCACAGTCCCCACCAGGGATGTGCCTGCAACCAATGTAGATGCCCTTGACTGGAATCAAAACTGGGACCCTTCAGTCCGCAGACCAACACTCTATCTGCTGAGCCAAACCGGTTTCAGCTGCCTTAAACTTCTTAAATAACTCTTTACCAAGACAAATGTAGTTTATAGGTGACAACCTGGTACATTTCTGGTTTCAGGACAGGAAAAATAAAGGAACCCGTAAGTATTAAATACTTTGTTTGCTAACAGTGTTTGTAGTGAATGAAAAATTGAACTTTAATTGTGTGGAAAACAGAGAAGTGATTTGCATGCCAATGGCCAAGTACAGACTTCAGAGACTTAGCACTTTTGAAACTGGTATTTATGGACATCTGTTTTTCCTCCATAAATTTTAATATGGATCTCATCCTTTGAAACCTACAAAACTCCCAGGTGCTTCTTCAGTCTTTATCTTGGGAACATGGTTTTAAGGGGGAAAAATTGTTTCAGCCTCCTTTTTTTCATTAAACACATTTGAAGTCACTTTTGTTGAAACAACATTCTGTATGTACAGTGTCTGATGGAATGCCTAAAATATAGTATTAAATGTTAGCAACTTGAAATGCTGTGTTCAGCATGTGAAGCCTCCAAAACATCCAATCCAAGCACATGAGCTGTAATAATCTTAATAAAGGATGTTTGAAAAGGATTCATTTATAGTCTTATACCTCTTATTATTCCACACCTGTTTATTTAATGCTTGCTTATGTGATGGGCACTTTTAGGTACTGAGTTTGCAACAGCCAAATTGACAGACAAAACCCCTGTCCTCAATGGGTTTATGTTCCAATGAGTGGGAATGTTCTCTAAAAAGAAGTCCTTTTAAAATTCTCTTTATACTGTTTGTTTAGTCCACCGGTAAACTTTTCACTGGGCCTGCAAATCAATGACATTAATCCATTCCTGATGCTGGACTAGACTCTGGCAATACAACTGTGAACAAGGTAGATATATTTCTTCCCTCAATGAGCTTAGAGTCTAACATATGTCTCACTTCTGTCAACAAACATAGACCTGGGAAACCAGAACTTTGTGGCAGAATATGGGTAACTACTTGGTCATTCTCTATTTTAGGTCCACCATAAGCAGTTCACCTCTCAGCTCTTGGACACAGTAGGAGATGTTACTATGGGTAGGAGAGAAGAGTATGTGGGCCAGCCTGGCTGGTGTAGCTCAGTGGTTGAGCATCCACCTAGGAACCAAGAGTTCACTGGTCTGATTCACAGAACGGGCACATATTGAGGTTGTGTGCTCAATCCCCTGTAGGGGGAATACAGGAGGCACTCATTGATGCCTATCTATCCCTCGTTGATGTTCCTATCTATCCCTCTCCCTTCTTCTCATGCTCTAAAAATCAAGAAACCTTTTTTAAAGAGTGTGTAGGCCAGAAGAAGAAATAAAATAACAGCTCAACAGAGGGTAAACACATAAGTTGGCAAGGCACGTGCAAGGCTAGCAAGAACATCAATTCCCTCTTAGGAAAGCACCTTTTAGGAGTGCAGGTCTGGCTGCCCTGTAGCAGAGGATACACATCATTTACATAATAGCAAAGCCTCAGGAGGACAGTAGA